AGCACAAATATACACCCTCTTCAAGTATTTTTCCTGAGTGTGGTTGTTGCTTCAAACCTCCATGTGGTTACAAAAACAAACTTCAGCACTATGACTCCTCAAATCTGCATTATAAAATAAAATGGAACACACACTCCCCATGGTAAAATATTATTTCCTAAAGTGTTCCAAAAACTATGCTAGGCAAAAGGCAGTAAAAGTATCTTTTAAAAGAAAAAAAAAAAAAGTTGGATATAAAATGTAGCAGATGTGTTTTTCTGTTCTAGTGAAAAGAAAAACACCTCCTTATTGGAATGAGCAGGAGACTCAGAAGTGGATCTGATGGATACAGTGTTTTCTCTCTTTTGGGAAAGATGAGGTGGGGAAGAAGTTATTAAATGTTTACTTATGCATTTGTGAGTTTGAAAGCATTCCTTTGTTCACTGCTTACAAGTGTGGTGGGTGGAATCTCTGTAGTTTGTGAGGGCTGTGAGCGTGGAGAGCTGCCTGCAGTAAATAGTGAGTGCATTTATGGTGCCACAGGGAAGGGGAGAGAGGCAGAGACCAGGTAGGGCTCACAAGGCTGCAGCTATAAACCCCTGCTTCTGCTTTTACTGAGGCTGTGCGGGGGATCTGATGAGGATCTATTGTTTTATTCTTGGGGGCTCAACTTTTTTAAGCAATCAGATGGAGAGTTCTCTTCTGAGAAATGTGTTGATTGTATAAAACCAGGTCTAGAATAAATATCACCGATGGCACTGCAGCACTTCAGAGCCTGTTTTTGCACTTTTTGCAGTTAAGAACTCAAGTTGCTTTCAGGGTTTAGTTGCACCCACCTGAACTGCTTTAAACCTCCCCTGTTAAAAGCGTGTTAAGAAGGTTTATTTCCTTACCTATGTTTTAATTTTAGTTAAATCGAGAGTCTTGCAAATCGGGAATAGTCTTGCATAAGCTGGAGCGATTTTCTAGTCTGGTTGTGTACACAGTGCTCTGACTGCTCCCCCACGCTCCTCACTGCTGGCTTTTGTAGCCGCATTTCTATCACAAGCGACCCCGTGGAAGTGGATATTTTGTTTATGCTGATGCTCGGCTCTTGAAAGCTATTTTCGGGGACTTTGTTTGTTGAATACCGTTACTATATTGCTAAAAGTGCAGTTGGTGTGTGCTTGAACGCGTGACTCTGAACCAGAAGCTGTTACCAGCTTAAGGAAACGTTTCTAAAAGGCACATTTCTTTTTCTGGTACAGGTGTGCTGGAAAAATGAACCTTCCAGTGAGATTAGTGGATAAAGAGGGAAATGTATTAGTTGTCCTTCTCCATTCTGACACTGATAATTTTAACCTACAATTCGTTCCCTTGAGGCACCTGAAGGTTGGTGAATTCTCACAAGTGAATAGGAGCACGCATGAAATGTTTCCTTCCAAGTGTTGTCTTTAGGCTTACTTTAACTTTTATTTTTTTTTCCTCTGACATTCTCCCCTTAAACGTGAGAAGAAACAATAGTAGTTGAAGGTTATGCTTTCAAATGGGTTAAATATTATCTTCTATCCATCTTGCTTCCTGCTGGGAGTCGCTGAGATGTGCCGAGGAGTGAAAGTTGACTCCGGAGTATGAAACGACGCTGTTAAAAACCTGCTAACAAAGACGAGCATCTCTCTTTACCACGTCAAATCTGCCTCACCTGTCATTTTGACCCCGGCATGTGGAAACGAGTGCGGCAGTCTGGAGGGGAATAACTCTTCCTCCAGAAGGAAATGATCAGCACTCACCGAACCAGTTGCTTTCCACACCCGCCCTCCCACCTCCCACCACCCCGCTTTCTCTTTTGGTCCGAGGAAGAAAATCGCTGGAAGCGATTCGCAGAGTGAAGGGATGGAGAGCTGGGGGGATTCGGGGGCGGCCGGGAGGGACCCCCCGAGCCCGGGGGATGCGGGGAGTGCCCGGCCCGACTCCCTTCCCCTCCTTCCGCCCGGAGAAGCGGGGCGTCTGAGCCGCTCCAGGCTCCTCTGGGCTCCGGAGCCCCTTCCCAAACCTTCGGCTCCCATTTGTGTCCGTAATTGTATTTACGGCACGGCGGATGCGCTGCTGGAGGCTTCCCTCGCTTTCCAGGGGTCTGGAAGGTTGTTTTTGGGGTTTTTCCCCCTCTCAGAGTTCCGCGGTGCTCTTTACCTGCCGGCGGGCGACTCCCCGAGCCGAACTGCGGAAACCTCTAAAGCGCAAAAATCCAGATTTATCGGCGGTCGCTCGCGTATAAATGCCGCTTTTTAAATTTTTTTTTTTCGGAGTGAATTTGCATCAGAAGAATCTGAGCGATGGTCTTTTCGCTTGGTTTAAATACAGTTTGGGCTTGAAATGGGGAATCTAGAGCAGGAGTTTATAATTTCAGAAGTATTCAAGGACTGGAGTGATTTTGCAGTGTATCTTAAAGGCGAGAAACTTGCTTGGGGGAGCAGATTGTGCCCCCGAACGCCCTTGCCCTGCCTGGAGCGGTGCAGCTCCCCCGGCGCTCCCGCAGTGCCCGTGGGAGGGGGCACCCCACGGCCGCAGCCCCCGCGGGGCCGGGAGGGGACGATGCTCCCGCATCTGTGCCTCGACTTCCGAATCCTGGTGGCAGCTGTGTGGGGTGAAGGCAGCGCATCTCCCCTGACCTGCGGCGCTGCCCTCTGACCCCCGGAATCCCTAAAAGCGGGGGTCCCCCGGGGCCACCGCACACGGGTCCCCTTTGTTCGGAGAGGGGCTGGGTCGGAGCCGACCTTGCGGGGATAGGCTCGGCTTTATCTCCAGGGGAGATGGGCTCGGTTTATTAGGGAGCGTTCACTCCCTGTAAACGCATCGGCCAAGGTTGCAGCGAGAGGGAATTCTGCCCCCTCCCCTTCCGCCCCTGCCCCGGGTTAGGAACAAACGTAGGAACGCTCGGACTGGCATTGCCAGAAATTATCTTACTACAAAGAGGGGGATTTTATTCGAGGAAATGCACCCACACCTATTGCGAAATGGTAAAAAAACCCCAAAACCAACAGTATAATATGCCTTACCATCGCCTGTATGTTTATCTTGTATGCTCTGGTTTCTCACTTTTTTTTTTTAGTATTTTTTTAACCTGTTTGGTTGGTTTGGGCTTTTTAATACAGAGAGATTGCCTCTCAGGGATACCAAGATCTTATATTGAAATATTGGCCTCCGTCAAACTGCTGTTGCTGTTCTCTAACGTTAAAATAGCGCCAGCCTCTCCTATTGCTAACCTGGCAAAATCACTTCCTGCATATTTATCAATTTGGGGAGGTGGGTTAGCATGGCAAATTTCCTTGAACAAAGATTGGGTGAGAGGTATTAGTTCATCCAATACCATGTCTGTCACTTATGTAGACAGAATGAATCTGAGTCCCGGCTTTGCCCTCAATCGTGTCTGAATTAAGGATACATTTTTATGAAAGTTTTATGGGAAGATTTTAATTTGAGATTCTTTTTGGAGAGAACTGTATGAAACTCCGCGAAAATAATCTAGAATTTAGTAGACGTCTTTTTGAATCGCGGCTGAACGTGGATGGAAGGAGTTCGGATTTAATCTGAAATGGTAATTATAGTTCTATCCCGTTTAAAAAAAAAAGTAAAACTAAGCAGGTTAAAGAGAGGAGCTGCACATAATGAGTCAAGGAAATACTTGAATCCTTGCGCTGTGCCTTTAACTACCGAACATCTGATTCCCTCATCTGGCAGATGGTCTCTGAGCACAGATTTGCATTCATTGTCTTGAAATCTGTTTTCGCGTTGGTGTTATATAGATTTCAGAGGCAGATCTATACGCGGATCAGAATACAAAAAGGCCAGGAGGAGAACATCGCCAAGGCAGGGCAGTTTAAAAAAATAAACTAAAATAAATGCAGACCTAGGTACGGTGGAGGGTCACGGCGGGCCGGGCTGGGAAGAGCTCCGGTTTCCTTTAATGGGAAATGTTGCCTCCATGGGATGTTATAAAAAGTTTTAAGGTGAGAGCTGGCAGCTCTCAGGGTGTAACTTTGGGGTCTGTTGGGTGCCTGGCGGTCTCGGGCTGGCTCTTGCCCTGCCCACAGCCTCTGCCCGCAGCCTTCCCCGGACCCATTTCTCATTTTTCATTTTAAATCCCGCGCCTGGAGCCCAGCGGCCGCTGCCCGTGCGGCGGCTTTGGCAGCGCGCTCAGAGGGACAGAGCTCGATGCTTTGGGGGCACTTCGGGTGTTCTGGGCCAGGACAGGTCGGGCTGAGGCTGCCGGCACATCGCGATAACCCCGCGGCTCCCGTGCCCGGCTCCGGCTGTCCCGGGACGGGCGCGCTCCTCCCGCTCCGGCCCCGCGGTTTCAGCGCACTCTGTGCGGGCTGGGGCAGCACCGCTCGGTGCGAGGCTGTCGGTCCCTGGCCGTAACCCATCGCGATCAACCATCGCGATAAACCCGCTGTTCCCCTGCCCGGGCTTCTGCCGCGAGGCGGGCGGCGGGTGCGCTCCTTGCAGCCCAGTCCCGCAGCTTCAGCACTCTTTATACGTTCTGGGGCAGCACCGTTCGCTGTGGAGCTGCCGGGCTACGACGATAAACCCATCACGATAAACCCATCGCGATAAACTCGCTATTCCCCGTGCTCCAGATGCGCCAGGGTGTTTCCACCCCGGTCCAGCTGCTTTAGCACAGTTTGCGCGGTCCGGGGCAGCACCGCTCGGTGTGCGGCTGCCGGGCTATGAGCACAGCCCATCCCCATACCCCTATCGCGACATCCCTATCGCGACATCCCCACTGCACCAGCCCCGCCGGGCGCGCTCCTTCCCCACCGGCCCCGCGCGCGGGAGGGCGCGTGGAGGGGAGGGGGCGGAGCGCAGCCGAGCGGCTCAACCAATGGCGACGCGAGATGCAAATGAGATACCCTTATTTGGCGCGGGGCCCCGCCCCCCGCGCGCCGCCCGCGCGCCGCCCGTAAGCCATTGATGGCGCGGGAAGGGCCGGGCTGGGTGCGGGTGGGAGCGGCCCCTGCCCCGCTCCGTCCCTGCCTCTCGTGCCCATTCACCGCTGCTCTCCCCTGCCTTCCTCCCGGATCAGCCTGCGGCCAAAGCCTTCTCCCCGCTGTCTGCTTGAGGAACAGGTGATCCTCCTTAGCGGCCCGTTTCTGGATGCGGCTCTCTCGCCTGCGTGTGAAGGATGATGATACCAGGCGAGGCTGAATCAGCGTAACTTTTACTTGGCAAGAGGAAAAACTTTCTTCCCCGTTTGAAGGCATTAAAAACACGTAGCGTTAAAAAGCAGAAGAAGTTGGTTTTAAAGCTGAACTTCACTTTCCTGGGATTTGTGTGTCAGATTCAAAGGCTGCATCGTTTTCTTTTTCTTATTTTTTTTTTCCTCCTTCCTTATCTCCCAAAAGGAAACTGTTGCTAGTTGGAATAGACTTTTTAAATGTTTGGAATTCAAGACACGTTAGGAAGAGGACCGATTCTGAAAGATAAATCTCTAGGTTCTGAGATGGATTCCGTCAGGTCCTGGGTCAGAAACGTTGGGGTTGTGGATGCAAACGTAGCAGCACAAAGGTAACCGTGCCTATTTCTCTCCCGCTTTTGCCCTGTTTTTTTTTTTTGTTTTTTTTTTTTAAGCAAACCTTTTCTTTATGCCCTGTTGTTTGCATTTGATATTAAATTACATTTTTTTCCTCTCTGTCTCCCTCCCGGTCTTCTCCAGTCAGCGAAAAGTGAAGGTTGGAGCTAGAGCTAGGCAGTAGCGCTCCAAAACCGGAGAGCGTCAGGAGTCCTAAAACCCAATGTGGGGCTCAGATGACAGCGAGATGGGATCACCCTTTTATTTTCTGCCCCAGGAAGGTGTGTGGGGCCCTGGATCTGTTGTTCCCAGTGATCCAGGGTACCCCTCCCTGGGCTACACAGCCGAACGGAAGGGGACCAAGTTAGAATGAACTTAAATGTAGATGTCAAACCCCCGCTTCCCCGGCTCGTCTTGTTTTGCTTAATTCATGGTGGGCATCGCCGAAATCTTCACCCGCGGGTTCAGGGCAGGCAGAGCAGGGGCTGAGGGAGCAGGGGAGGGCTCGGACACCGAGGATCCCCGCGGGCATCCTGTGCCCGCCCGCCTGGAGCACCTGCCCGAGCATCCGAGAGCTCTGTGCTGAGCTGAAATGCCTCTGAACACCGCGAAACTGGGGCCTGGCTGGTTGCTTTCCACTTCTTTGGGCGGCTTATCTCCCTTTATACCCCCCTTTTGTTTTCTCTTCCCAGCCAAGTCGGCACAGGGCACTTACCCCACTCTCTTCCCGTTGGGGTAAGACGATGAAAACTCTTTTAGGTTTTGTTTTGTTTTTTTTTTCCCTTTGTTTTGTTTTCATTGCTCTCTGGATAGCTTTAAAAAAAAGCAGTAGCGTCGGGAAAGGCTAAATTTGCACCCCCGGGGATAAACCTGATTTTATTTAGTATTAGAGACAAGGTGAAGGGCATGGAACAGCAGAGGGGACTTCAGCTGAAACAGGGACGGTTTAGAAATTGTACATCCATGCCCCCAGCCACGGCTTGATCCGGCAGCAAGGTTTTCCAAGAGCCATGGGAGGAGTTATCAGAGTTTTATTAATGTCGATAGAGCGTTTAGTAAATACGGGTGGTGGCGGAGAAGAGGTTTATCCTCGAGGAAATCGAAAGTAAAAGGAAACAGCTCCTAACAAGACTCCACGGGAGCGGTGGAGGTGCAGCCGTGTTGTGCTGCCCGCTGGCATCGCCAGGTTTTTCTCCCAGCTATTCCTAAGAAACCAATAAATCCCAATTTTTACACGCAGAACCAGAGGAAGCCCCAAGCTAGGTGTAGCCGTGGCGGATGTGGCGAGTTCACACCGTACCTCATTGGCAAGGAAAACATCTGTAGTTCCCCGAAAGAGTCAAATACTTTTGCCAGTGCTGTGGAACTATTCTGGGGACTAAAACCCAAAGTTGTCCAGCTCTTAACTAATCTGGCACATAGGTTTAATCTGTCTATTAAGTAATTTGGAGGTGCTCATGTGCACCTATTTTCTTCGCAGTAAGTAGAAATTTGCTTTAGGGAGAGGGAGCAACAACTAATTTCACAAAGAAATAAAGCTGCAGTCAGGGATATTGTGGGTAAACAGAAGCATTTGAATCTTCCCAAGCCGGGAAATGCGTGGGAAACATCACAATTTTTTCTGCAGTCAGACTTTCGCAAGGGCTGGTTAACCCGAGACTAAATTCTTTCAGCTTAAATCAGATATTCGATTAGCAGGGATCGGTTTAAGTAAGTCAGTGACAAGTCAAACTTCGCTGCCGGGGGAAGTCGCTGCTCTGCTTCAAAGTCGTTGTCTCTCACCAAAACCGAGGTGCCCCGAGCTGACAGCAGGGAAGATTTTTAGGGTCGCTTGTTTTCCCCTACAGGAAAAGGGACCGGGATGCGCAGAGAGCGTTTCCAGAGCCTCTGACACGTTCTGGCCGCTTCCCAGCCCGCTGCACTCCGGCGAGGAGCCGCGACAGGCGGGGAAATAAGCGGAGGGAGGAAAGCCCCCGCTGCCCTTAGCACTAACCCCTCTCTGAGGATTGGCGCTGTCCCCGGGCTTGGCAGGGAGCGGGGCCACGCTCCGGGGCGAGCCGGGCTCCAGCGAGCATCGGCCGGCGGTGCCCGGGGCAGCCCGAGTGGGCTCTGCCTTGTGTCTTGTTGTTTTGCCTTTACTGCTGCACAACCTGGTAATGTCTTTGTCTCTCCCCCCTCACCCCATCCCGTGTGTTTCCTCCACAGCGGAGTAGCTTTGTCCAGAGCCCACTTTGAAAAGCAGCCACCCTCCAACTTGAGGAAATCCAATTTCTTTCACTTTGTTCTGGCTCTCTACGACAGACAGGGGCAGCCCGTGGAAATAGAGAGGACAGCTTTTGTGGACTTTGTAGAAAATGATAAAGTAAGGCTCCTTACTCTTCTTCCTCTTTTTCCTCTCCAATTTTGATCTTCTCCCCCCGCTGAGCTGCCGACTTCTGATACCTGTTGTCCCTAATAAAATCCAGCCGTGGTTTGGTCAGGGTTCAGGTGCTGTGGTAGAGCTGTAGCTGCTGTAGTTAAAAAGGGTAGGAAGCCTCTGCTCTGTATCAGGAATTTCATTCACCTACTAAAAATAAAATGAATAAAATTCATGGGGGATAAATGAATTTATTTTCTTTTTTATCTCCCACATCTGCCAGGTTTTATTAGTACCCAAACAGAAATGGAATCTGACCTGTGATATATCAGATTATCGTTAAGCTTGATTATATGTATTTCCTAAGGCTCCAAAGTCAATGGCAGGACTTGAAAAGCATTTGCTTTTGGATTTTAATTCCATGTCTTGACCACTTTGCATTTTTTTAATTACTTTCTTAGTCATGAACAAGATTTTTATTGAACTGTGAATCATAAATACTTATCTTATAGGAAATTACATTTTAAAAAATGCGTAAGAAACATCCCTGTACCACAACCTTCAGGAAATAAATATAAATTTTGACTCAAAGTAACACTATTGCAAAGCAGTGATCACAGTAAAATCAAAAGCCATTGTGTTTTCCCACTGTCAATCTGCTTTATATTAACTGATTTGAAATGCATAAATTCTTCTCAATGTATTGCCTTGTAAAAGTTGAGAGCATAATGGCAAATAAGAGAGGGAAAGAAGTTCTTGAACTCCTACAGGAGAAGATGTCAGCAGTATTTTGTAGTTTGTCCTGGGTCACTCGGAGGGTTAATACATCCCAATCAGTGGATTCACCTCTTAGAATTTTAATGAACTTTGTTGTCACTTCCATCATGATTATCAGCTCTTGCATTTTAAATGTGCCAAGTGTAAGTTCTGGAAGGATTTTTTTTTTCCTTTTTTTTCCCCCTTTTTTCCAAATTCCCTTTCAGGAGCAAGGCAATGAGAAGACGAACAACGGCACACACTACAAACTCCAGCTCCTCTACAGCAACGGTGAGTGCCCTTCCACGGCACCTCCTGGGGGCTGTACAGTGAGTCAGGGGCTGGCTGGAGGTGCTGTGATTTCCAAAATATCCTGAAATTCCCTTGCTTTGAGGCCCCTTCAGTGCAGGGATGGGCCCTGGAGTTTCTGTGGGCTTGGGAAACAGAACTACCTGGGATGCAGAGGGTGTCTGGAATGGGTTTGTTGTGCTGCTTTTAGGGCAAGATGCCCATAGGATGTTATTTATCCCTGCTCTCCCTCGCTCTAGGAGTCAGGACGGAACAGGATCTCTATGTGAGGCTCATTGATTCTGTCACCAAGCAGGTGAGCAGGGCTGATCTGTGCCAGGCTGTCCTGTCCCACCTCATCCTTCCTGTTTGCTCAACATTTCCTCACATGTTTTTCCTTCTCTGCTTCACTCTGGTTTCTCACTCAGCTCTATTGCAGACCTGTTTTGGAGGGTAATTGAAAATTGTGCTCTTAAGTCTCTTTTTTCCCCCTTCCATGGACTGTAGGGTTTTATCCAATTCGTATCAATTTTCATGTAAAGCTGTTTTCCCTGCACATAAAGGGGAAGGTGTTTATTTACAGGCGGTGGTGAGCAGTGCTAAAATCCCTTCCCCTCACATCTGAATATCTTAAGGAATAAATAACCCCTGATTCTCCTGCCTTACCCCTTCTCTTAATTTTTGTAGCCCATAACTTATGAAGGCCAGAACAAGAACCCCGAGATGTGCAGAGTGTTGCTCACCCACGAGGTCATGTGCAGGTAAGATGAATTTATTAACACATCGCTTGTGAGCTTCCCTAAATGCTGGAAGAGCCTCTCCAAGGAAATTTTAGCTAGGGAGAGTTTGATTTTGTTGTTTATTTTGTTGTTGACTCACAGAGGGTCTTTGTGTAGGAAGATTTTTCTCTTTACGTGGGTAATACTTGCTTGGGTTCAAAACAGATATTTGGGGGGGATTTCTGTTTTTTTTGTTATTCATTTTTCCTGCAGGAGGCAGGAAAAAGCACAGCTGCACTATTTTCGTTTAAAGTAGGCCGTTGCATGTGTTGTTTAAATCAAGACTTTTATGTGCTTATCGCTCATAAAACTTCTGCTTACCTTATAAGAACAAGCAGTTTCACTTCTATATTTTTACCTGGAAACTGCAAGATGGTCTTCATGTAATTTCCTTTGGTGAAATATTTTAATTTCCTTAATTAATGTGGTATCATTAATATTCTTTAATTTGGGGCAGTTCTACCCCAAAAAGAAAAATCCCTTAAGCCCTTCCTTTGTATACATGTGAACAATATTTAGGGGCCTTCTACTTTTTAATTAAAACAAAAATCCAGACACTATTTTTAGCATTTAAATTTATAAATTAGAGGGTGAAATGACTCGAGGATGTTTTTAATAACTTTTGTATAAGTCTGAACTTACATGTACCTTATGTATGTATGTCGTGCTTCCATGGTAACTTATTACTTCTCCTGTTCTCGGGTAATTAAATTTTTTTTCAATACATATAATAATGCAAACAGTCAATGTTCTTATATTAAAATGTGTTAAAATGTGCATAGAACATTCATAAAACAAGAGGTAAAACCCATTTGTGACCTTTATTAAACACAGTTTGTGATTTATTGTGTCAGTGGGAGAGGATTAAGCTGTTGGACTCAGTGTTGCTTCTTTTAATGGTGCAGCTTGCTACTTGATTGTGATTTTTTTGGGGTGTTTTGTTTTTTTTTGTTAAAGAAACCTTTTAAATAAATGTAGCAGTGAGAAGCTTATTTGGACAGAATTTTTATCAAGGGAAAGTCTTAGTTTCAGTACTTAATTATGTCAACAATTCCATTACTTTTTAATATGATATGAATCAGGCATTCAATATGAAACCAATGTATTGTTTCTCTGTTGTGCTTAGTTCTCATTAATTAAGGAAATGAGCTTTTGACCAATATTTCCATATTTATGCCCAAAACCAATGTATATCACATATGAGGGATGAATTGGATGTGCTTCACAAGGACCTGGTGATGTAGTGGCAAAGATCAAAGGTGTATAAGTGACTTTCTGGCACGTCTAGAACTCACATATATAATTATATATAAATATATATATATATGTATGTATGTATATAAATACACGTATATATGTATCCATGTTGTTGAAAGGTTTCACTGTAACCAGGTGAAAATATGAGGAGAAAAATCTGATTTCTTGTGCAGCTGGGCTGTGGTTGGTGATAACACAAGAGCAGTGAGCCCATTTCTTGTCTCCACTCTCCCTGCACAGAGCACGGCTCTGGTTTGGAAGTTCAAGTATTTTAGCACCTTCTGATCCAAATGGGTTTGTTTGATTTAAAATTAATTTGGGCTTTCCCCTTGCTCCCTCTCCCTGCCTTTGTGGTATCAAATGATCTGCTCAGCTTTGATATTTCTGAGCTCCAGTGATGCCTGCAAACCTCCTCCGTGCTTGATTTAAGGTAGCATTGCACAAATCTAAGCCATTATTCTGATTATTCTCAGCTCTGCTGCTTGATAGATTAACCAAGGAAGAATTACAACTCAGGGACGTCCTTCCCATGTAAAACACAGATTAGTGAAGGGAATCAAAGGCGCTCTGTAACCTAATGAAGACATTTGATTTTAAATGTCGTGTTTTCCTGAAGTATCTCCGAGCAGGATGCTGTGTGTTCTGAAGAGGCATTACACACATCACTTTGAATAATGCCAGGGGAATGGCTCCAACTCTAGTTAAACTTGACATTTTATTTTATTTCTTTTAAGTACAATAATCAAATCTTCCTCACTGTGTGCTGCTTAAGTGGCAGCATCAATTTTTAAAGCCCCTAGTTTAGTTTGCATTAGGAACAGTATATAAAATTTTAATGCACTGTACCCACTCTGCTGTCGAAATTGATGCCTACTGCTTTTGAAAAGAAAAGCAAGAAGGGTCTGTCTGTCTTTCTGCTCCTCTTCCAGTCCTCCCTAGTTGAAGGCAGGACTTTTGGGAGGGAATTTTCTGTACATAACCACACACGGAGATATTTTTTGCTGCGTGGAGACGAGTGCCTCCGAAAGTGCCCGTCTCTCCCTCAGACAGTGACAGATGCCTGCTTAGCAGGAAAGTTGTCTAAATATTGATACGGCTGCACCAATCTGTCATAGCCATTGAAAGTTCAGCTCTCAATAATTAGTGCTTCCAGTGAGAGGCTCAATTTATTCTTTCCCAATCTGAATTATTATTTTTTTTCCATTTGCCTTCTTATGGCCTAACAGGAACAGTTCCTAAGAGGTGGGTTTGTGTGGAATAACACAATCCCGAGGGCTGGAAATCAAGGTAAAACAACCTCCTCTCCTGGAATAATTCCCCCCCCTTTCCAGATCTTCTTCTTTTTCTTCCAATTATCCTCTAAGAGGAAACTCGTTGTTATGCTGCTGCCAGCAACCCCCTACGCCCTCAATGCTCAGAGGGTTAAAAGGTATTATAATTCGAACAGAAGTAGTCTCAGGGTCTACAGCTGGCTAATAACAGAGTTGTATTGAGTGGAGCGAGCCCCACAGCTGTGACTTTCGCCACAAGGCTCAGACTAGACGGGAGCTCTAATCAGCTGGGCCAGGCGGCCACTGGGGCCCGTGTCTTTATCGGCCAGATGGTGTGAATTTAGACACTTTTGTTATGCAATTGCAGGGAGGAGTTGGGCAGAAGAAAACAAAACAAAGGCCACCATGCTGTGAGCTTATTTGAGTTTGAAATTAGAGACAGATTTTTTTTTTTTTAATTTTTTTTAATTTTGGTGTTGGGGTGAGGGGAGGGAAGTTGAAGGATTAATTTTAAAACCGTCTTAGTCAAGCTCGAGGAGGGAAAAGGATGGAAGTTTGGCTTCTGGGGTGCTCAGTTTGTAGGGCTGGGGTTGTCTCTGGGAGCTGTCTGGGTTTGGTTTTAGCTTTTTCTGGACCATTCTTAACATAAACCCTCATTTTCCCGAAGTAGATCTAATTAGAGGGGGAAGTAGAACAACAAAAGATGTAGAAAATCACCTGAAGCCTTGATATTCTTGTCCTAAGCAGATGAGCATCTCTAAAGGTGCGTTCCCAACCCAATGCTGTAGCAGAAATGTAAATATTGGTGAAGTCATGCCAATAATTTGCTTGAAGAGAATATTGAAGGCTTGATCCTGAACCACCAGAGTTTGGGGGTTTGGGCTTGGTCTGAAACTGGAACTTGTGAAACCAACCAAGTGGAAATGTTAGTGCTTGGATATGGGGCAAAACACCTGGAAATGGGGATTTAAAGATTTAAGAGGTATTTTTGCTGAAGTGTTGGGTTGAAATATCCTCAGTCCCACTCTGATCTTTGTGCAAACAAGTCCTTCACTGGAAGTGGCTCTTCTCCCTCATCGTGATTTTATTTCATATATTTGGGCTCAGAAAATACCATGGTCAAAGGGGAAAAAGTTTATCACTGACAAAGATCTTTCCCCAGCTGTGATAGGAATGTCGATATCAGTAAAATATTTGGAGAACTTTAACTGCAAGCCACAGGTTTAGAGGGAAAATGTTTGAATATTACAAACATAAAGTTCAGAACTGCAGTAATTGTGGAAATAGAAATAAAACAAGATGCGCTTGTTTCCGAACCCAGCCACTTTGTGCTCAGTCTCACAGAATTCACCCTAAAACACTCTGGAATCACTACAGAAATATTTTAAAAGCTGTGTTCCTTTTCTTTTTTCTTTATTATAATGGCCTCTAAAGCAGCAAAGATTTTATTCCAAATGTTATTTTCCATGTGTTGCTAGATTGGACACGTCAAAGTACATCCCAAATTTATGTTCCTTTGAGAGGATTTTCTGCTCTTTTTTGTGGGGGGTTTATTATAATTTTCTCCTTTAGAAAGCATCTCCCATCTTGACTCCTGGTATAAAACCACTCCATTCCTTCTAAACACGGATTAGGCAGTGAAATCCATAAAAGATGTACTTAAAATAAAGTTGGGAGAAGGAGGGAGGGTGATTTTCTGTGCTGGTGTGAATTACCAGAGCTGCGATGAAGTCGGTGGAGCCATGACAACTTACAGCCGCTACAGGGGCTGCCCCAGGGATTTTTAAATATTTAGTGTATCCTTTTATTTTAAAAGGAGTAGCATTGATGAATAAGTGCAGGTTTGAGGCAAGGGGGATGTAGGAATGTTGAAACAGTTAGAGCTGCTATTCAAACAGATCTGCTCCTTCCAGCTCATCTGGCTGGGCAGTTCCAGCCCCAGAGCAGGAGCTTCCTGGAAACTGGAGGAAATGTTGGGATTTTTCATAGCTGAAACAGGTTTTTTCATCTAAATGCTCATGTTAGGCATTTATAATTGAATTTTAGGCATATCAAGAAAAACATCCCCACTTAAGTATTTTATTCTGCCTTCGATGAATTCAAGTATTTTATTTATTTCTTCTTTTAATATTTATTTATTTTTAAATTTATTTATTTTTTATTGTATTCTGCTTGGGGTTGCTCCCCAGTTGGAAAACTGATATTCAGAATGCTTGAGAATTTTGTGAATGTATTCAGCACCCCTGTACAAAAACCCACCAAAGTTTCTCCATCCCACATGTGTAAATCTGCACAGAAACCTCTGCAGAATGTGGGAAACATCTTCTGGAAAGTTCTGATCTGGTGACTTTTGAGGGATGTGGGAATTCTGACAGAGACTTTTTAAACTTTGGGGTGCTTCCATCCTCCCCATCCCATGCTGACTTTGACTGAAACAAAAAACCTGAGAGTAAAAACAGCTTAAATCTTCTCTGTTGCTTCAGGTTATTAAAAGTGAGGATTTCAGAGCAAGAAATTTTTTTAAAATCTATTAAATTCCTGGTACTTCACTACCATGTGTGCTAGGAGCATCACCCATGTCAGTGATTATATCAATGGAAATAAAATAATGAACTCTCAATTTTAAAATTTTTGTTATTATTTATTATAATTAATATAATTGAATGTGTACTAATTAATGCTTAATCCCGAGGGTTAATCATTGCAACAATTGCAAAAGCCAACCTCTCTTCAGATCCTTTATAGGATCTAAGTATGTTCAGTTTCTGGCTTTTCATGGAGTGCTGAAGTTTTCAGTCACCATATAAAACTTAGATATTTATTAATAAAAAAATACAGTAAGGTAAGAAAATAATATTATTGGAATATCCCAAGCCATTAGGTTGCATTAGGTTATAGTCAGTTCTAACACCTTTTGATGGACTTTTAACCCCACATAACCCATTTGGTCCTGCCTGTAATGACATTATGGCATCTGTTAATCACTTATTAGACCTTTATAAATATCACCTCAGTCTCAAGTGGGGCCATATTGCTGTTCATTTTTGGCTGGTTAATTCAGAATGGATTACAGGGAGCCAAGTGCCAAACTCCAGCTGGAACCAGCCAGGACTTAGGCACCCAATTCCCTTAATTTTCCCTTCTGGAAAGCAGAATTTTTACCCTTTCAGCATATATTGAACACCGAAGGTTTTCTGACAGACTTTGAGCTGGTTCCTTACCCTCAACTGTCCCAGTTGTTCTTTAATTTTGGATTTCTTTCCCTCTCCAGCCGGTGCTGTGAGAAGAAAAGTTGTGGCAACAGGAATGAGACTCCATCTGACCCTGTGATCATTGACAGGTAGGAGATGAATCCTCTTTTTCCTGCAAAAGCATCCCCAAAATTGTTGTTTTTCACTTGGAATGATCTGAGGTTGTTTCTTGCTGGTTATCTGTTGATGCCTGACATATGGGGACCTTGACAAAATTGATGTTTATTTTTTAAATGCAGTTCTGTTTTTATTGTGACCAAATATCCCATGTGTGCACCTGGAATGTTCCCCCCTCACCAGGGGTGAGATCCAACTGGATTTACTGAGACAGATAAAGCTTCGAGCAACCTGGCAGCTTCAGGAATGTTCTTTAACAAATGAACAATATTTTTGTAGAAATGTGGGGAGAAAGGGAAGGGTAAAAAGGCCAAAATGCAAAAATCTGACAGGCTGGGGATTGTGAGCAATTTTATGTAGAACAGCTTGGTGTATTACTCAGTTTCAGCTCCAGGTTTCAGTTCTTTTGCTGTTTTTAGGTCAGCAGGATAAATGGGGAGAGCAGTAGTCTGTTAAACCATGAAGTGGCACTGTAAAAATTGTGTGCATTTGGGGGTGCTTAAAAAACTTCCTTGTGGAACCCACTGACATGGAAGGGTTTGAAATCTGGAGTTCAGCAAGGCTGAATAAAAGGGAAAATAAAAACAGGCAGAGCTGCTTCAGAAAGGAGCACACTCAAGGGCTCCAGAAGGGGAACAGTAAATAAGGAAAAGCCAGGAAGAAAATGTTTCCCCCCAGATTATTCTGTAGTAACTGTTAAAGGGTTCCTTTTCCCTGAAGCAGATGCTACAAGAGCTGGTGCTGGAGTGGGTTGATTTTAGTCACTTTTTATGCCTTTCTGTGTCTGGCCTGTTCTAGCTTCTTTTATTGTCACAGTGTTTCTTGTGGACTTATTTTGGCACTCAGAGCAGTAAAGCTGGCTTGAATAAAGATCTGCAATTATTTCCTTCTTTTTTTTTTTTTTTTTTTTTTTTTTTTTTTCCATCATAGAGTTAATCTAAATAATTTTGGAACTCTGATGAGGTGATGGGTTCTCCTTTACCCCATGGTTTTCCCTTTTAATTCTGTTCTCACAAGTTGTGGTTGGGGCCAGAGCTGGAAGTTGCAGTGAGATCTTCGGGGAGCAGAAGTCCTGGATGTGCCATCTTGACCTTTCCTATGAAATTTTGAGCTTATTTTTGGCTGTGTGGATGCTTGGTATGAATGTGCATTTGGGAGCTTTCCAGCCTGAAGTCTGAATTTTCTGGGAAGCAGCTCAGGATGGAAGGCCCTGGATTTGCCCCTGGATTGAGACCTCAGCAGGGGCAATTCCTACCCCAGCTGAATTTGTCATCCTAAGCCAGCTGCCTGTCCTCAATTCTGAGGCTTCCTTGGGGGGCTTTGGGGTCTGCTATCAGATGAAAAGGAACCTATGAGGAAGAAGAGGGTTTTTCTTTCTAACCATGTGTGAAACGTGCATCACAAGTCACCTGTTGTGCTCAGCGAATCCCAACCTTTTCTATTTTGCTCCAGGACCTCTCCTAGCTTCATCTAGACCTCTCCTAACTTGTTCTGAACCCAGAATTTTTTTCCTGCCTGCCCAGCTAACAGCAGCAGGCATTCTCTTGATGTGGAAGCATCCTCCAGGCTCAGCCTGGCAGCTCCTTTCTGTGTGCTGGTCCTTCCCTTTGTGTGTGTCTCCATTCCAGGAGAACTCTGGAGCTCGGTGAGGGAAATAAATCAGGTGCAGCCTGATAAAGCTGCTCCATTCGGTGTTAAAGGCAGTTCCTAAATTGGATTTAGGCCCCAGAGAGAAGAATTTATCCCAGCTCTGCCCTGCAGTCTGAAGAAGGCTTGACTTGGTGAAAGGAGCAGAGGAAAGAAAAGGAAAATGGAGACAGAAGAATTGCAGGAGCACCTTTGTGTTATGCAGAGCTGGGTCTAAGCAGTGTGGGCAAAGTGAAACAGAATTTCCATGGAATAAAATTCCAGAGTCTTTGAGATTGGAAAGGTCCCAAGGTCATTCACTCATAACTCCATCACCAATATAGTGATTTCCCCTTTATTTGTTTCTCTCCCCACATTTTTACCTTCTGTGTGCTGGAGGGAGACACAATTCACTGGTGTTCACCAGATCCTGGGGATTTGTATCGCTGTTTAAAAAGGAAGAAATAGTATAATGGGAAAAAAATGTCAGCCCTCTTGTTGTTGTTGGGCTTTTTCTTCTCCTTGAAAGAATTCCAAAAGTTCTGATGCTGAATAAAACATTTCTGCAGTGACCTTTGCTCTGGGGACTGGATTTAGATCCGAAGGCCCTTGCAGTTATTTTTCCACTCCCTCTTGGAAATGAGAACGTTTCCATATGAAAGGGAACTTCTCTCCTGAAATTTAGAGTGTGCCCTCTCCTGCTGGCAGAAATCTGTGGGATACATTGGAATACTTTGGTTCCTGTGATGTTCTGGGCCAGAATTCCAGTGTAACTCTGGTCAGAATTTGATTTCAGAGTGATGCCTCTGATTTAACAGGGATGGCACAGCTCAGATCCTGCAGTGCTGCTATTACAGGTGTTCAAAATTGGGAATTCTGCTGGAAGGACCTGGGATTGAATTTTTAATCCAGAAGCACTCGCACTCCAAGGTTTTGGACAACATGAGCCATAAGCAGTGCTCAAAATGTCACAGCAAACTTTAACTCTGTGTGCACAACCAGAATTAGTCAGAGCAAGTTGGTTCTGGTGCGTTCCTGTGGTGGATCCCAGCTCTGGGAGATCCATCCTGGATTTCTGCAGTTGGTCTCTGTGGAACTGGTTGGTTTAAGAGACATCAAAAATGTAAATATTGTCTTTCCCCCTCC